GTTCTCGGCGCAGCTTCTGCGACGCGGCAGTTTTGGTCATTTCTCAGAATCGCTCAGCCCGGCTGAATTCACCGAGTGGATGACGATGACATTTCATTTGATTTTAATGAAGGGTTGCTTTAATTTGTGGGGCAAAAAAAAAAAAAAAAATAGCTCGAGGCTTTTAAATCTCCGTTAAGCAGCTTTCAAGGATATTATTTTCTCAATCCAGCCGTGATTTGGCCAATTCACTTTCATACTTGAAGCCTTTGTATATGCTGATGACACCCAAAGCGATGCCAAAAAAACAAAAAACAAATAATAATAAGATGACTGCCGTTTTAATCTTTCTTTGTCTAAATGTGTTTTTTTTTTCTTGCCCCCCCACCCCAACCTCCTTTGTGGCGTGGCGTCGTCAGCGGAGCGCCGCGAGTGGATGGAAAGCCTCGAGGTGAGCGGCCGTTTGAAACCGAAGAGCCTCGCACGGAATCCGGAACGGGCTTATGAATCCAAACGAGGGCCCGTGACCTTGGACCAGCCGTTTTATTCCTCAAAACTCGATTTGGCATGACTTGAAGCAAGGCTGAGCAGTTTAGAAAAATGACGTCATTGCGATTCTTTTTACTCCAAGCCGGCGGCAATAAATTGACCTGCTTGGCAATCTCGGATCCATTCAAAGCGAAAGTTTTGGGTGTAAGAGAAAATAAAAGTGAAAAGTCGTGATATGATTCAAGCCAAAATAAAACATTGCAAGACGGCAACTTTTTGGGGGGTAATACTACACAGTATCCTGTATGACAGTGAGTGCGAAAGAGACGGAGATCATCTGCGAGAGAGGGACTGCGAGATTTTTGGACACACAACGATGTACTCATGTAGATAATACTACACAATATCCTGTATGACAGTGAGTGCGAAAGAGACAGACAGAGATCACCTGCGAGAGAGGAACTGAGAGATTTTTGGACACACAACGATGTACTCATGTAGACAAACAACAACAATACTTCCATGCAGATTTTCTTGATTATCTGCAAAGAATGACAAAGAGTCCTGCCTCTTCCTGCGCATTTGTGACTGTCCATCTCTCTGTACAGCGCTACACCGACCCCGTGTGGTCACAAAGAGCAGCTCCATGTCCACCGAGTTGACGCAAACGTTTTTCTTTGTTCCATTTTATTGATTTATTTATTTTCAGTCTTTAAAAAAAAAAAATGTAGACACACATTATTGCCAATTATTGAAAGAATGCCCGACTTCTGGCTGACAGACGCCAATTTGAGAACCACAAAATTAGCTCGACGTCTTGAAGTCGGGTTCGGCGCCGCACTGTTCTTTGGGGGCTTTTCTTTTTGGCACTCTGGAGTGAGTCTAATGAAGTGCTGAGATTCTCGCCGACTTTCATCCTGCTGGGACAGAATGGGAGGGGGGGGCGGG